CATCTGACTGTTTGGTCACCCAGTGGTGAAAGTAGGGGAAGTGCTGACCAGTACAGCCACAGGCATATTTTTCTCTTTCAACACTCTATGATCCATTAAATTATTCAATAAGGAGATTTTACACCTTTAACGCCCAGAGAGATAATTTGCAATGAGATCTAGAAAGCCCCAAAGGAAAAGAATAATCATTATTAAATTAACTTCTGATATTTTTGAGTTAATTCTCCCTTAGAGGATGCTTTAAAATAATAGAAGATCTTTTACAAACTGGACAGCCCTTGTAAGTTCAGAGTTCAGTGTTCTTCCATGCTGAGATATATAAAAGACAAAATTAAAGATGGAAACTTGATCTCGGATAAATACACATTTCTGCCAACTTCACTCTTGGGCCAAATTCATCTTTCGCTGCGCTCACTGAGCCAGAATTAATGGGCCTCAGATCTGCATGTCTCTTTGGGGCTGGAAAGGAGACTACTGTCAGCAAGGAGGTTTTATCTCTAGAATAAATCCCCTTCCTTCGCTTTTGAATTGTTGGCTTTTACATTCCCTGTCCTCTTTTACCCAATATATCTTTGTAGAAGATACTGAGAAAGGCAGTTGGTCTCCACATCAGAAAAGTTTTATTGTCAGCATTGTGTCAGCCTGGATTTATTTGTAAGCTGCATTCACTTTTCTTCAGCAAACTCTAGGCAATTTACGGGATACCTCTATTTAACTGGATTAGCCAGGTCCAGTTAAATACGGGACTCAGTTCAGTACTCCAAGTTAGGCCATACAGAACATGGTGGTGACAGCAGTCCCCAGTCTCCCCACCTGCCTGCAACAAGAACTTGCTTCTTTTTGTTGGTTTATTCTTGATAATTTCTTGGCCCAGGCTCATTTCTTACCCTTTCTTCATCTCCTCCTGGCCATCAGAGGGAGATCTGCTCCTCTCCATGGGATGAAGAAGGCCCTTGCCCAGAAGATGCAGCCCCACCACTAAAGGGAGCAAGGAAGTGGGTGTGGGTCTGGAGCCTGATGCGTATGGACTCGTGTTCACCTAGACAGACTTGCCACGCTGATGTGTGCCACTTGTTGCAACAGTAATACAGAAATGCTCTACCTTTACAGTAATACAAGTGATTTGAAAGAAAGCAGTTAACTGAGTGAAAACTCTGTCCTAGCGCGAACTCAAGTCTCAGCAACTCAGTCTCAGCAAATGAGGCTGAAATGAGTGTTTCCCCTCAGGCAAGAAATGGCATGTCTCTGAAAATAAGAAACACCAAACTAAAGAGACCTACAAGGCAATGAGGGATGCAGAGATCAGTGGCACAGACAACAAGCATTAATGGCTGCCTAGGTTTCAGTGGCTGTGTCCCATTTTCTAAGTTGATTGTCCAGTGTTAGGCTTTCTTCTTCCTTCACTTCCTTGCCCTCCCCAGAGCTTGCACAGTAGGGCGACAAGAAAAAATGTGCACCCTACAGGCTGGGGAATTGCACAAATATTGTTGAAGAGCTGCTGGGGTTCCTCTGGAAAGGTAATGCAAGTCATAACGTGGGAAAAGGCTACATCCCTAGTCCAGCGTCTTGCCTGACTCCTTTGATGTCGAGTGAAATAACACCACAAACTGGCTGCCACGTTTGCTATAGCAAATATCCGTGGCACTGTTGGACTTTCAGTGCCGCACATCACAGCCACTTGGGCATTCATCGTGATGACAAGGAATAAATCCAGAGCACCCTTTTCCCAGGACAGACATCCCTATTATGTGTCTTAGGGAAGAAATGCATTCAGCAATTGACTGGGAAGAGGCACGGTGTGCCATCCCGATGCTGTACTCACACAAACGTTTGCTAACTGAGTACACCTGCACAGCCAGTGACCAAGAAGGTGTTTGGACCACATATTGCAAACCCTGGCTGAGAATTTCCCCTTCCACCCAGGAGATGGCACTAAGGCATTCACACAGAAAGCATCACTTTCACATTACCTAAAACTATTTTTTTTTTTTTTTTGAGGTCATGCCCTGGTTAGAAAACTCACAAAATTTGCATTCACTAGCTTGCTGCATCATATGATGGGACCAACTAAGTCTGATTTCTGACTGTTCTGTGGATGCCATCATTTGGATTTGAGCTGGTTTCGCTCTCTCATGGCTTCACTGTGTTTCCTACTGGAGAACTGGTCTGGTAAATCAGACCAGCCTCCCTCTAGCCATGTTCCCTTGTTTTGGATAGAGGCCAGGACCAAATGCTTTGGAGAAATATGCCCAGCACCTACTGCAGCAGTAACAGGGTAACGTGCTCCTGGAAGACAGATCCTGATCTCTATTAGCCACAGTTTGACTCACTTCTAGCTTGTTTCTCGGTTCTGTTTTTTCCCTTGTTGCTAGTGTAAAGCTTGATGTGCTCCATACAAACGTCTCATCCCTTTCTGAATCCTGTTGAGATCATAGCTGGTGTTATCTGGTGCCGTAAGCACAGGCAGCTAATTCGCGTTGTGCAGAAAAAGGACTGAAAGGCTGTGCTGAGGTAATTCTAGTATTAGCTGGAGCTGTTCACCTCTTTTTGAACCCAGGGCTCTTTGATTTTAAGCCTATGTCATTCACATGAAGAGACTCCATACACCCTGTAATGGAAGCATCAAAGGGAGCACCAGGGAGACAAGGGACGTGGTCTGTGTGGTTGGCTCCCTTCTGTAATTTGAATATATTTGCATGCAGCCTGAATGTCCCCATTACAAAATAGTAATTACTCCCTGGAGTGGTATGAGAGCTTGCTTAAGTCACACTTCGCACTGTGATAACCACTGCCTACCCATTTGTGTGCTTGAGCTGGCTTGGAGCCATCTCAGTTTCCATAGCAGGGAGTGAAAAAAAAAAAAAAAAGCATTAACAGAAATCACTACCAACATTAGACAGGCCAATATCAGGAAGGGGCGACGAGGGTTTCCATAAGCACGCCCGGAAAGATAAAGGTGTGAAAGAAAATAAATGTAATTCCGGGAGGACAAATGGCAGAACCTGAGGATGCAATGGACAGGATCCTGGCAGGGCTCTGGCTGGATCAGCAGTTCTGCATTTCTCTCCCAGGGAGCAATTAGTTCTGCTGTGAAGAGCTCCTAAAGGAGGAGGAGTAACCTGGGGTGGGAAGGTGAGACCTTTCCAGTCATGCTACAGACCGGTGCCCGGCTGAATGCTGGTATCTAGACGGGTGGCAGGCAAGTGGGGTGCTGGGGCTGCAACGTGGAAGTGCAGGTTTTGACAGCCTTGTCTCAAGTCTGGTCTCCGAAGCTGGAAAGAGCTTAAATGAGTGTGCTGCCAAAATATCCAGGAAGGATAATTATCCTCAATATTAGCAACTTCCCTCCTTCTCCCTGGCACATTGTTAAGGACCACGTTAGCAAATCCAGCATTAGTATGTCTGATTGAGCATCTTCCTCAGTACGTCCGACAGTGTGTATCATTAACCTATCTTCTGATTCATCCTTTTGTTTCCTCCTTGGTTGCCTGTTTTGATAAGCATTTAACAACATATTTTTCTTGGTGAAGATTACTTGAAATTACCTTGTATATGTGCCCTAAACACTCACCTAGACACACGGCCTCTGTCAGCATAACAAACTGTTGCAGTGGAGTAATCTCAAAATCTGACGGAGGAGTCAGTCTCCAGCATGAGGAGGCAGGTTAATGGCATTCTTTCATAAGAGAAACCAGTCAGACCATGAGATGCATTTTAATGAGTGCAAAAGTACATGTCCCATTAAGAATACTTCTATTCTCATGGTCCTAGCCTCTGAAGAAATCAAAAGTCTCTGTCTCCTCAGGATCCCCTGATGTAGGCAAGTCTTATTTTTTCCCCATTTTTAAGTTAAAGGCAGTTTCATTCTGTCCTCCAAATTCTGCAGCCTTTGCAATCAACCTGGCTTCAAGTTATTCTCTGCTTTCTAACCATGTTCCCCATGACTCTCACACCTCTTTACACTACTCTGCTGTCTTTAGGTATAGTGAAAATAGCCTATAATACTCCAAGTACTGCACTGACTGCGGTCAACATCTCATCCAAGAGAGGGAAGAGAGGGCAGCTTTGCAGCAACTAGAATCCTTTTACCTCCCAATCTCATTTGCTTTGAGATTGGCCTTGCCAGATGTCATTTTTCTAAATCTCCCAAAGCTTCTCCTCCTGCAGTGAAACAGGCATGCACGTGATTTTCCTAAGGTCCTGCAGCAAGTTAATGGCAAAATTTACTGCAAGTAAGTGGTGGTGGGGTGAAACATTTGCAGAGTATATGGAAACAGGAGAGACAATTCCCTTAGACAATAAACTTCTTGGGACAGGGACCAGTGTGCTGCTCTGTGTTTATAAAGTCCGTATCACCATCAGTTCCTAGTCCAGGATACTACTGTAATCGAGGTTATTTGTTGTCACTATTATTAGCCCCTAATATGTTTGGAAGTATCCATTAAGAATCTCTTGCTTATCCCTGAAGAGCAAAAGGATGCCCCAGTAAAAGCAATACCTTTTATGTGTTGGGGAGGGAGGTCTCCACACTATCCACTTTTGGCTAATTTTGGTATTTCTGTGCAATTTAGAAGACCCAAATTCAGAGAGCAGCAAGGTGACACAGCTAAGCAGGAAGGCTGTGATGTGCCTGGCCGGCTCCTCTGGGATCAGCATCCCTGGGACAACAGTCCTTCCCAGCATTGGGCTTTGCAGCCAGCCTTGGCTGGATCTGGCTTTGCAGATCAGCAGCTCTGCAATGCCATCTTCAGGCAGGCAGCAGCCTTGCTCCCTGCAGAAATCCCTAGAAACCTCTCTGAACTCAGGAAGGCGGAGGGAATCAATTCTGGCTTAACCATTATTAGCAGAAATTGCTGGCCAAACCCTAGAAAGTGTTAAATACAAAGAAGGCAAAGAGCTCTGCCCTGGATAATACAGATATTTCCTTCCCTGTGAGCGCACCAGGTTTTTAAGAGAGCACGTTAAAGCAATGCTACTAACACAAACTACTTGTTGGAAGGTGAAGTTTATTGGCAAGTTTTATTTAGAGTACATGAATTGAAACTGCCTGAGTGATTTTAGCTCCAAGGATTGCCCTGCACAAGAGTGTTTTCCTGACACTGATAAGAGCCAGAGTTCTTGGGGGATTTAATGAAAATATGTGTGTAAAGGGGTCTCTGCTAAGCACTTCACAAATACTCTATAGCCACAATGGTAGGTTGGGAAGATAAAGTGCTTCCAGGCTTCCAGGGTCTCCCACAGACAATATCACACAGACAACTTGGAGAGCCACAGAGCTGTAATCACAGAATAGTGTAGGTAACACATCCTAAAATAAATGAGAAAACCAGAGAATAATGTAGATGAAGAGACCTGTGAAGGTCTTCTGGTCTAACCTGCTGAGACAGACTTGGATGAGGTTGCTCGAAGCACTGTTTACTCAACTTCTGCACATCTCCATGAGATTCCACCACCTCTCTGGTCCCCAAGCCAATGAATGTATGACCACCTTCACCGTTAAAAATATTTTCCTAGTATCTAATTGAAATTTCCTGTATTGCAATCTGTCACCTCTCATCCCATCACAATATAGTGATTTTCCTGTAACAATATAGTGTCTTAGGCATTAGGGCAGAAGATCCCATTACGGAAACTGGTTGGAAAAATCACTTTTTAGTACCCCAGATCAGGAGACTGTTGCCATTCAGAATAATATTTCAGTAGTGAAGCTCTTATTATTTTATATCAGGTCTCACAATAGTTTGTTCCAGGTCTCACAACTGTTTGTAATTTTTTCCACAGCCTCAGCCACGGGAATCCTGTGATTACCAAGGACTCAGCTTTCAACAAAAAGGAAGCAACCTCATGGATTATCTTGCCACTTACCATGGACAGCTGTAGCACCTCTCACTGGGCTGTGTCCACAGCAATCGCTTTCTGAGAGGACAGCCTGTGGGGTAGATGTGAGATGGGCTTTACGGCTGAACACAGCCCTGCAGTGGGGATTTGAGATGACCGGTTCAGCCTCCGTAAGAAAACACTGTAGCTGTCCTCGTACTCTGATACCCAGTAGTTCCTGCGAAGAACAGGGAGAAGGAAATAAGAAGAGGATCTCCATCCTTTGCTTGGCATACCTGGACACCAGGACAGGGGATCAGCCTCTGTTTTGGCAGCAGCTGGCTACCCAGCCGTGAAACTGCACAGTGCAAATGAAAGCATATGCAGATGGCATGGGGGAGACTGGGAACAGCCTGTCTCCATCAGTAACAGCACGGATGCTGCCACACTCATGGCTGTCATTGGGACCAATCTCCCACACAGATCAGCCATTACAAAAACTTGGTCTCCAGCCCACACATAACTCCAAGATCATAGATCAAAATCAAGACTTCACTGCAAATCTGAAATATGTGTGTGTTAGTGGGGAGGGAAGGGAATGAGGCAGCAGGGAGGAATTGCCTTTCCAGTGAGAAATGAGCGCTCAGGAGCAGTCGATGCCTGTTTGCTCATAGTTGTGCAGATGAGTCACATCGCAAACAGCTCCTGCCCTGATTTGAGAGTGCCCTTTCCCAGGGGGAGACCAGGCACTGCAGTGTTGAGAGACACCTCCCTCCACCATTCCCACAGGGGCTTGCCTCCTTCTTTCCAAAGGGGATATATCAGAGGCTGTCCCAAGAAGGGAAAGTTTCCCAGCTCATATCAACCCCACCAAAAATTTTTCAAGAGAAGACTAAGCAGGTCTTGTGAAAGGATTTGACCCTGAGGGAATTCATGTGAGCTCACTGCATAACATGGACAAGAAGAAATACACCTGAGAAACACCTTCCAATCCCATACAGTTCCAAAACCTACGTATCCCCACTACCAGCCCCCACCCTCTCCTCTAGCCCCACTCTCCCTTACTGGTTAAAGCACTCATCTTCAGCAAAAATGTGAGAGAGAGTCCTATTTGCTTTACAGTGTCCACCATGGGCTCCAGGCAAGGGCTGGAAATCTGTGTTGTAGGTAGTTCTGCAGTCAAGGTCAAAACATTCTAGGAAAAGAGAGTCCAAATAATTGAAAGGCTTTTTCAAGTCTCTGTCTTCTTTACGCTGTAGTCTGTCTGGTCGCCCTTCTCAGAGCTTCATCAGCTGTTAATGCTTTCAGCACTCCTGTTGTAGCTACCATTACTGAGATGTAACTAGCGCTAGCCACAACAGGACAGGCAAGAAGCGCTTCCCGGGTCTAGACAAGACAAGATTATTGAGCCCTTATTTGCTATGGCCTTTTAAGTATGATGGTAGGTCATGCAAAGGAGATCTGGAAAAGATATCTTAAGTTCTTCCCTTACGGACATTGACTTGTCAGCTGCTCTATTTTCTCCTACTCTTTGGATTTTCTCTTTCATCACACCAAAGCAATATGCCTCTGGTTTATTTAACCATGGACTAAACAAGGGAAAATGTCCAGGGCCCACTGAATCTTTGCAGAAAAAAAAAAGAAATCCACTGGCCATCTTGTGCAATGTTGCCACAAGAGTACACACGCACAACAAGCCGAAGTATTAGGCTAAACGCTAAATATTCACTTAGGGCTTTATTCTCCCATATATGTGGAAATATTTATGTGCGTGACCCCAAAGAAAATGGTTTGCCATGAGTTTGTGGAAAACCCGTGGTCCCTGGACTGTAGGCTGAAAGACCACTGCTGGAGAGCTGGCACCAGTGCAGATACGATATGAAGTTGGTAACAGGGTGGCATCTCAGTTCTGCCGTCAGAGTGCTAAGGGAAGATCTCAGCAGGCAGAGGGTATGTATGCTGGAGAAGGGATCCCACAAGTGAGGACTGTCACATCTGTTCTGCTCTCTTCACCTAAAATCCTCATAGGAGCTCGTTTGAAGGGATATCCTCGCCTATCCTGCTCTACAGAGATGCCCCACCTGTATATTGACAGCCTGCATATGTGATCTTCTGACTGAACAGATCTGTCCGTGGAAAAATGTGCCACTGTCTCTCACAGTGAAGCAAGGAAGATGCACAAAGAACTGCAGATTCTAGATGTTTCAATTTTTTTTTGTATTTTAAAAACAACATGATCACGTAATGAGTCATTATTAAGGGTTTTTTTGTTGCTGTTATTTTCACTAAAATTGAGATTACAGATATTTCACAGGTATCCACTTGTGTATGTCCACGTCAGGCAGTTAATGCTAACTGAATGAGCAGTAGCAGCAATAGTTTCCATGCTGTGACGTAATTTCCACATAGGCCACAACGAGCAGGACTGCACTTCATGGTGTGGCCCGAATGGAAACTGGGATGAAGGAAGCATTATTTAGAATGCTCTAACCTTTTCTGGAGAAAGATAGTTGTTCTCTGTCATGCTTCTCCCCACTGGCAGGTGAATGGCTGTGAGGACTGCTCACCCATTTGGGATCATGCAGCTCAGGCAGCTGGCTCCAGATCAGAATATGGTGCTTAAGCCACACTCTCTCCAAGAAGTGGAAATTCAGTTAGAAACCTTACTGTCACCACCTCCAGTTGTTGTCTTCATGATGTCTGGTAAATAGATCCTGCCATTTCTGCAGCCAGCAGCCTGGTGTGCAGGATCCTGCACATATCCTTTGGTGGGCACCATCTGTAGGCATTGGCATGGACCACAGAGGCTATATGGATGAGGAGGTCTCTGAGGACTAGACCTTGGTCTCCTCCGGCCAGACTGCCCTTGTGAAATTCTAGATGTGCAAAGCTGCATGAGAGGCGCAAAGCCAGTGATGGGTGCCTGTTGAGCACACGGCAGTAACCTTCACACCAAACCTGCCCCCAAGGGCCTTTCCCATTTCATTCGCTTATCCCTTACCTTCCTCAGTCTGTAATTGCAAAAGCCCAAAACCAGGCCAAAGGCCACAAGTCATCCATGCAAGGCAGTTGTCACAGTCTCTATCAACTGACCTTCCCCCAAAACAGATGAGCCCAAGACCATGCTCTTGTTTTCTTGAGCTTTAAATTGCCTTGCCCGACATGTCTCCAAGATGAATTGCTGGTAGGCAGCCCAGCCCCGATCCAGCTCCTGCTTGTGCAGCAACATCCCTGAGAGATCGAAGAACAAGAGAGCACATTAGACCAGAAACATCATCAATTACTCACCCAAATCCTACCCTCGGGCAGGCACAAGCTAACAGCAAGTTGGAGCCTTAGCTGGCATAAGTCAGGGGAGACCCATTCACTTCAGCAGAGCTGTGCTGAGTTGTATCAATTTTGAATTGATTTAGTTCATATAGCCAGTGAGGGAAAGATACATAGTGATGCTAAGCAAGTGGGTAGAGCCAGTTTTGTGAAAGGCGGGAACCATGCTGTCTCTGTTGCTCTGGAGTGTTAAAAGGAGCTGAGACCCTTTGCAGGAAGTTAGTTTAAAAAAGTGAAAGACTTTGCAGGGAATACTGCACTGCTGAGCTACACAAGGGGAGACTGGGAAGGGAAAAGCCCACAGCAGTTGTCTTATTAGCACAAGACAGCCTCAGATGGGCTTGGCAAGGAGATGCTCAAAGCCTTCAGATGTTAAGTGAAGGAATCACCTATCCAAATGGAGACATCTCCATCAGAGCTGCTTGTCCAGACTCTCCTTTGAGTTTGTGGAGAGAAACCCTGCCAGGTGGGGTGCAGATGAGCACCCTGCTCATCTTCCAGGTGGCATTTAAGTTACAGTAGATGGCTGTGGCGTTTCTCTTCACTGATCATGAAAGGAGCTGAGATGAGCAGCTCCAGACACAGATGTCCCATGCTGGGTGAGATGAACTCAGGAAGCAGAGAGAACATCCTTGTTTCATGTCCTTCTATGTGGTCCTAGAGCACTGTTGAGAAAGAGAGACTCCCAGCAGGACTCCCCACCAAACGGAGCCAGGACGTTGTGTCTGACCGAGGCTTTGCCGGCTCACAATTTGCAGCTAAGCATGGCTCAGCACACAGAAGAGTAGGCAGGTCATCACCAGGAAAACTGATGGAGCAGGAGGGAAAAATAAGAAACCCTCAGAGTAACCGGGTGCATAAAAAGCCCCCTCACTTTCCATGCCTAGGAACAGCAACAAAATTCATGGCTGCTCCCACACACAGCAATGATGGAAAACAAGATCAAAGTTCCGAAACCCCATGGGGATCAACAGAAGGCCCCAACTCTATTTTACAGCTTTCACCATAATAAAAGGACAAGGATCTTGAGTTAGCTGCTTCATGAGCAAGAAGGAAATTGTATTTTTACTGCTGCTCTCTTCTCTTTCATTGAGGAGCTCAGAGGAAGATTTGCTTTGGGAAGGCTGGGCAGGGCTGGGCAATGTTTGGTGATCACTGACTTTGTTTTCCTGAAATCCTAGCACAAAATTTCATCAGAGTTTTAATCTACAGTGAAGCAGACAGTGAAGTGGAGTTCAGCCGAGGCCTTGCTAACAGTCATTTCCTGCTGTGTTTACTGCCAAGGCAGGTACCTCTGATAGAAGGGCATTAAGGGTTGTTGGTTTGTTCCAGTATCTTGAACCATCAAAGCCAGAGTCACTAGAGATCAACTGTGGAGTTCATGTGCTTCCCTGTGCTCCTCCTGTTTCCCACCTTTAACACAGGGTTGACTGCATCTCCCTGTTTCACAAAAGAGCTGTGAAGATAAAAACACTAAAGACTGCAGTGCACAGGCGCTTTGGTAGCAGGGACTCTTTATGCACATAGAGTGAGTCTGCAGAGTTTTCTGAAGGCATATTCAAACTCACTGTCTGCACTCTGAGCTGGCCTGAAAGCTGCATATTCATGTTAAAGGGGTGCTGTGCCCAGGCTGCTAATCTTTGCTGGGCACAGCCCTGCACTAATGCTTTGTCTGGAGTTTGGAATCTGCTCGTGTCCGGCCAGCTCAGTCCATGGGCAAAGGGAGTTCAGCTGGCAAACGACCGTGCAGACAGCCCCTCAGGTAGCTAGGTAGGGCTAGTCAGCTGTTCACTAGCAAACAGTGCCAACGATAGGGGAATTACCTTCTGTTCCAGGAGTCTGAACAGCAGCTGGAAGACAATGGGAACAGGAAAGCTCATTTTCTAGCTTAGTAAGAGCCTGTGGCCTCTCCAGCTTCTCCTCCTGGGTTGCTGTTGCTTCAGTTGCAGGGTAGGATTTTGGTAGATAGCTTTCTGCATTGGAAAGAACTGAATTAAAATACTTCCTCTGCTCTTTTTCGGCCTGCTGGAATGACTCAGGACCGGAGGAGCTACCTTTCTGCTTCTTCTCTGGCATGTCATCAGAAAGCCTGTTCACTTTACTGCACGGTCCTGGGATGACCTCTCTTCCCTCTCCGACCACATTGTCCCAGTAGTTCATCAACCGCTGCTCTTGAGGTACTGCAAACTCCTTGGCTTTTAGCTGGGAATCTGCAGACTTTAGCTTCTGCAGAAAGAAGTCATACATGAATGGAGATGCAACGAGGTAGGACACCGATTCCTATGGCAGCATCAAACACAACACTAAATGCCCACAACGAAACATGGACTTTGGCGGTGTCAGTGAGACCAAGGACTCAACAGCCATAAAGCAGGTTCATAACTGTGTCACTAAAATGCACAGAGCATCACAGCTTCCACTTTCTCTCCTTTTTATGGCTGCTTGGGCTGTGTCACCTCGCACTCGAGGAGTGTTCCCCCGAACCGTCTCCACTCAGACACTCTGCAGGGTATCTGACACCAGGGGGCCAGCTCTGCAAGCTGTACCCCGATCTCAGGCTGTTTATGAAACCTGGTGGCTATGGCAGGGGTCTTGCCTGGGAAGGTTTTCACAGATGACTTGGCAGCTCAGGATCAGCTGGGACGTTGCTCCACAGGCACATGAGACACATGGTTTGGGCTGGGCATACCCTGCACTGTATGGAGACACACACTTGGGCCTTTTCTCTCCCCTACCTTCTTCTGTCCAGCCTGCTATGCCTAGACTTTGCCACACCTGCAAATATTGGCCATCAACACCCTCAGGGTGTTGCACTAAATCCAGCTGAAGTGACATTCTTTGAGCCAACACGGAGCTATCCGATTCTCCTGAGGACCATGTGGACACAGAGATCTACCTGCAATAATCCAGCAGCAAGTCCAGAGTGCAAACCTTGACCCACAATAGATCCCACACCAGAATTTTCTTACTTGTGGCTAGGAAATAAACCACCATTTCAGCCCATCTTCTTTCTGCTGTCACAGAGAACTGTGAAGCCTCTGCTGGAGCTGAACCACCTCCATGTTCTCATTTCCTGGATGAGGACATCAAATAGCAGACAAAAATAGCCCACTTAACCTTCCTTAATGAGTATGTTTCTGATAAATAGACAGACCAGGCAGATGTATGAAAGCATATAATGCGGCAATGAACTGGCTGCGGCATTTGAGCCCCTCAGCCACTGCTGATGACAACCATAACCTATGAAGATTATGGAGGCAGCTAATTTTGCCAGCAGAGGGGAGAGAATCAATCCTGGCACAAACAGAAAGACTAATGTGGCTGCTGGCATGGCTGCCCTTGGGGGTCTGCTGGTTTTAGAGTCTTCTAAGCTGCATATTGCAGCTCTATCCCGAGCAAATTGTCCCCTTTTAAGGGCACAGTAAGAGACACTCCTGCTGTGAGATCTCTCAGGCTCCTCAAGCTAGCAAGGCTGCTCAGAGACCATCCTCATGGAGTTTGCTCCTAAGCTCCTCCATGACATTGTTTTAGACCTCCACGGGTTTCTGTTTGTCCCTCAAGTTCAGTGTGCCCCAGAGCTCTCCCCTTTCCTATCACTTCTCCAGCCCAAGCTGACTTCTTAGACACACTTCTGACAGGGCAAGTCAGGGCTGCAGAGCTCTGGGAACTACCTGCATTTGGGGGATTACTCATTTGAGGATGGAAAGGGCTCCTAATGATAAATCTCCTGAGAGAATAAGAGCTTCCAGAGGCGGAGACAGCTCACCAGACAGCTTCTGCTTTAAGGAGTTCTCCAACTTCCCCTTTGGGAGGGGGCTACAATTCAAAATTTCACATAGGAAAATGCCAAAGTGATTCTATGCCCTTAAAAAATACCCAGTGAGTCTAAGAAAGAAATCTGGACCTCCTGAGTACCTCATCAGTACACTACCCAGAAGGACAACTTTTCTTTACAGGCCTTTAGACTTAATAAAGGTTCAATAAAGCGTCAAAGAGAGCCGCAACCCAAAGAAATCAAACATATACCAGATGCTTCTTCCCTCCTTATCTCCTAAGGCAGCCGGCCCACAGGTCAGGACCTCCACAGAAAGTGTGCAGCCTTCCAAAGCCTCTTACAAAACAAAAATAAAAATAAAACAGCAAAACCAAAAGAGCCTGGAAAAAAAAATTTAGGTGTGCAGCAACTGCAAACAAGAATTCTTCTCCCTCCACGCTGGCCCTGGGTTGCACTCCAGCAGGCAGGGGGTTAAAAACCCTGCCCTCCATACCAGGATCTTGGAAGCAGAACAGCCACCTAAGGCTTGGGCTTCCTGCAAACCACTCGCCAGCCTCAGAGAACAGCAGGAGCCTGGAGCAGGGAATGTTAATGAACGTTGCTGGCAGCGGTACCCCTTCCCAGAGGGCAGGAGAAGGGGAGCTGACAGTGAGGGAAGAAGCGGGAGGGAGAAGGGAACAGAGGAGAGGGCTCCTGAGGCTGCTTCAGATGAGAGGAAGGCACCGGTAGCCAGGAGCCTGGGTCTTGCTTGTGCTGGATTAATGTGGTTTATTACCGAGGCCCCTCCAGGGCTAACACCACCCCTCCCGCTCACACAGCTTCCCCTCTCTGCCCCACTGGGCACTTTCACACAATGATTTCTCTGTCGTTTTCCCCCAAGCCTGAACTTTTTTCCTCTCTTATGAGGGTAGGACAGATCAAGCCACTTTAGCAACTGAACATCCCCCCCGCTACTTCTCCCCAGTGGCCCAGTGCAAACCGCAGCTGTCCCAACTGGGCTGCCACAAGCAATTAGACCAGGGCAGGCGGAGCGAGGCAAATCAGATTAAATAGCTCAGGGGGTCGCTCTCACTGCAAGGAGATTAAAAAAACATAACATTCCCTACAGAAGTCTTCTCAGGCCTGTGTCAGGGCAAGGAGACATCTCCATCACAAACACCCCCCTGCCTCCATGGCAGTATCAGGATGGGCCTAATCCTGCCTCACTCCATCAGCCCCAGAGGAAGCAATAAGGCTCTAAGGCTTAGGCTCTGGTTCAGCAAGCAGTCATTAGTGCCCTGACTTAATGAGTGTAATTAGCACTGCCCGCCTGAAGCAGCTTTACTGGAGGGTGCAAGGGGGATTTCCTGCAGACGCCCCAGCACAAGCCAGGGGATTTGTGTGTGACATGACCCGCTGGTGGGTCGCCAGCAGCAGGGACCGATGCAGGGCTCTCGATCTGCCGGTACAGACAGCACCCGCGCCTGCTGAGATGTTGGCAGTGACTCCAGTCCCCAGCTGCCCATGGCCACAAGAGGGGAACAGAGCCCCGCGGGGCAGCCTGCACCATGGGCCATGGAGCCACGCAAGGAAAAATACACTGTACCTGCAAGTACTCCTCGGTGGGCGGCTGGTACTCCTTGTGCCATCTGTAGTCTGTCATATACAAACTCCTGTACATGTCCAGTGACACAGGTGCCTGAAACAAGAGAAGGGAAACCCAGTGTAGCTGGTATTTACTCAGATGCCTCCTGCTAGGACTTAGGGGGAAGCCTTTGAAGGCGGTAATACAAGCGCTGCTTCCTCAGAGCTCAGGAGACAACAAGCTGCTCCTCTGGGGCCAGTGTCTGTCCCCTGGGCCAGCTGTGGTCACTCCAACAGAGACAACTCCTTGCTCAGCAGAGCCCCAGGCAAAGTGGATAGGAAGGTCCAAAACTCTTTTGGCAATGGGTTTCGGGGCTCTTCTAGTCCTGGGGGACCATTGCAACAAATGCCTTCCTCCTGCCTTTCTCCCGCTGACTCTGACTGCAGCCGATGCTCACCCCTGGGCAGGGCACTAATATAAAGTTGCTGAAATTGTTTGATCAGCTGCTGAGGTACAGTGTCACTCAGGTTAAATATGCACGTGCTCCAGTCTCATATTTCAGTAATATAGCCCATGTGCTTATCACATACTTAAAGTTAAGTGCTCGCTAATGTCAATACTTATTCTACAAAGTGATTGGAGAAATTATGGAAGAAAACTCTACCAAGGGCTATTAAGCACAACGGCAGCAACCCTAACACTCAAAATCACTGCAGTGCAAACTGCTGGAAATGGGGAGATTTTAGGGAAGAGGCGCTTTGTGCTTTTCTTGTGTCCTGCGCCCCTCCCTTGGCATCCACTATGGGCCACAGCTGGAGACAGGAAACCAGGTGAGATGAGCTTTCGGGCTGATCCAAGATAGCTGTTCTCATGTTAAAGCATAAAATGCGCTAACCTTTAAACACGTTGCAGAGGGCTCTGAGAGATGAGCTCTGGTAAAACTTGTGCAGTAACTGAAGGTGTTACTGCTGTCACCCCCGCCACATGAACATATCATCCAGGACTGTCCACCGTGCAGGGACTGGCCGGGCTAGCCAAGGCGCAGGTTTGCACTCCCATGCCTCGTGTGAAGGGATCACGGCTGAAACGTAGGGACTAACCCCTACCGAGTGCCTTTGCAGGGCAGAGGGGCCTGAAAACCACTGAAGTGCCACACGCTCACTCTGCTAAAGCCCTGTTCTCAGCTCTTCCTGGCCTTACACTTTCAAAGGAAAATGTAGAACTTCAGTATTTCAGACAAACTTGAAATATTTAAACCGCCTACTGAGATAAAAAGGAATCAATAACTGTATTAACACAAAGCACCTTGGGGAAGGTATCTTGTGCCTTGCTACCGATGCTATCCATTAGGGGCAAGAATATATTTTATATACTCATTCCTTTTTTCTAACATTTCACCCTTTCCCCCCCCACCCCCTGCCACCTCCCAGATGAGAGGCTGCATTTGGCCACCAGAAGCCCATTATCACCAGCTGCTATTATCTTCCCAGCCTGACAGGCACTGCAAATCCATTACTCAAATGGTGGCGAGGAAGAGAACCCCTTTTGTGCTTCACCTTCGACAAGGCTATTTTCCTCATCGCATCCACCATGCTGAACCTGAAACAGAAGTCACTCAGTTAACCAGCAAATAAATTCCTCTCTTCTACATAGCCCCTTCTGGGACAAGGGACCAAGTGGCCTAGAACAGGTACTGGCGGGAAGAAGGTGCTTTAGCTGGGGGCTGTAGGGCTTCTATGAAGTCCGAATTGGTGGTTAGAGCATGAGCAACTTTATCCAACTTTAGCAATGCAAAACATACCCATCTAGCCCAGCAATGAGCACCTACAAAGCTGTGCACTTCAGGGGATGCCACTCGCTGGGAGCCAGCCAGGAAGAGACATCGGCACCCCAACACCAGCAGCCCCAGAGCTGGCCCTGGGGGTGACCCCCAGTGTCCCCTCCCTGGGGAGGAGAGGTGGGAGCCTCGGTACCTGCGCGGTGGGGTGATCCAACATCTGCACGGCTGCAGAGTCTCTGAGGAGGAGGGGGGAACCTCCTGCCCTTTGTGAGACACCTGGGCTCCAGAACCCCAGCGGCCTTGATGGGCCAAGGGGACCCTTTGTGAAGGTGCAGGATGCAGTCTCCTTTAGAGGAGAGGCCACATGTGCCCCCACAGTAACACTGCCAGGGACCTGCTCCCCACTCTTTCAGCTGCTGCCAGCCAAGGACACGCGGCCAGGACAGGGACAAAGCCTGCCCTCCACTACGCTGAGCCCTCAGAGCACCCTCTGGTGAGACCTGCTTTGCGGGTGTGTTTTCGGGAGCAGAAGGAAACAGCATCCTCACCTCACTGCATGGAGAGGTGTGAAACAAACTGCCGAAATAAGACAGGCAGGGATCTCTTCTCGGCTTTGGAGGGTGGCTTCTACACCTGAACTGTCCCATCCAGATGTCTCCTTATCCTTCCTAAGAGCCTTTGATGACCTGCAAAATAAGACAGCAGGGGATGGTCAGATTTAGTCTTCTGTCACACAAACAGATGAGTGTCTGCCAAACTAGACCTACAAGGCAGTGTTTACTCCTTAAAAAATGTCAAGCATTAACCAAGTTTGGGATCCATCTCATCCAAGACTAATTTCACCTAATTTTAGATCTCTACAAAGAGGACGTCTCCCGTTGAGATAATCATTCTGGGCTCCCTGGCTTGTTTAGCCTGATTCATTTGACCGGTGTAGCTATGTAGTTTGGGATGAAATTAACTGCCTTTTCAGAAAGCCTGTGTTCAGTCAGCTGAATCTCATCCAAGAGTCCAGTTTCTGTAGCTACACATGAACCTGGAAATCAGTTCGGAAACTTGACTCTCTGTCACTATAGTAATGCAAATAATAAATGCCAGTGATGCCATGTGAATCCGAAAGATGTCATCTTGGCTTCAGGACCTTGGCTGAGTTTACTAAAGAACAATTAGAACAAAACTTTTTTGGATCAGTCAGGCAGTTTCTGCTGGAGGATGTGGAGAGGCATCTATGCGAAACTTCATGAGCTTATTTCTGAGAGTTTTCTGACTCTAATGGGGGAAGAAACTTTCTTTTTGTTCTGTGTTTGTACAGCACTGGATAGAGAAGAGATCTGGTCATGGACCTGGCTTCACGGGCCCCATCACAATGAACTAAATTACTAGAGTTATTTCTCTTTGCACCCTGTTACGTGCCAGCACATACATGAAGCGTTAGGATGCTAACGCTCTGGCAGTAGAGTTGTGTGCTGCTAATACCCCAGCACTGAAGTCAGGCAGAAGGAGAAGCCCTTGGTTCACCGCTGTATTTTATGCAAAGGAATATTAGAATAAACAATGCAACAAGGAAAGAAATTATTTCCAGAAATGTGAAACTCTCATGTTCTCCTGTGCTTATATTAAAGGGATTACACTCCATTTCCTTCTTAATACAGCTAATGCTCTATGGGAAGCCCTCAGGCCAGGGATTAAAGCACTTATTCAATTAATTAGGAACAAACTTCTGCCTTAAAGTCAAACACACAAATATCAGTAAGTCCTTGAGAGTGTCTTCCTTCCAGGGTAGGGAAAATGGATCCTATTTCTGATGTAAATGAAGCCAAGTCTGCACTCTAAAATTCCCAGGAATTACATAAATTAAGAAGACTCACTTTTAAAATCTGGGCATTCTGTAAAGCAGCACGGTAAAGAGGGGACAGTCCTTCCACCTTGACTCCCATCAGTTACAGAGGGAGTAAAATCAGGGCCTGGAAGACTAATACAAATGAAATACAATTTTAGAATGCAACACTGGTAACCAGCTCCAAGTTGCAAGCACACCAGCGTTTGGATATGTTTGAAGTTAAGGGTGAAATCCTGGCCCAGCTGAACTCAAAAACCAAATTCTTATCCAGGATGATCCAAATTTCACCTAGGGTGTCTGATTCATTACCGAGATAGGAGACAATTTGCAAAATCTGGCTCCAAATCCTAATCTTCCTTGATGAAGGCTTGATCCTTCCGTCTTCTCGCAGGCACAGTTCACATGAAAATTAAAAGGCATTTTGCCAGCATAGTTCATGCAGGAGCAGCCTGCAGCTTCCCATTTTTTCTTCCCAAATACCAAATGATGGGGCTGACAATTGCCAACGTGATCCCAATTAGAAGCAGGTTGGAACGAAAATCCCAGCTCACATCTTCCTCTACTTTTGAAAGAGCTTGTCTGCCTCCTTGTTGCTAATTCAGCCACCGAGAAACAGATAAACCAGCTACATACCATTTTTTGATGTTTTTATACATCTGGACACCTTTTTTAACTTCCTTCACATATGCGGGCTGTAGCGCCATTACCTTTCCCCTGATAAAAACTCCATGCAATGGTCCCAGACTTCTCCAAGCCCCCACAACTGACAAAGCTTGGCCAAAGGATGCCTCAGCGCACCAGATCCCTCTGCCGGCGCTCCTGCACACAACGCCTAGCACGGGCTGTGCACAGGAAGCACTGGCAGGGAGAGGCTGAGCAGCCACTGATCTCTCCCCATCACAACTTCTCCTCCAGATAGCTGGCTCCAGAGCTGAAAGAGAGAAGTGAAGTCTGAAGACCAGCATTGCTTTACAGAACACCTGCAGGAGAAAACTACTATGAACTAACTAACTAGTCTCTTTTCACAATACTCCAAAGAGGTGATGGCTGAGATTTCCAGGGTCAGGATCCTAAATCAGGCACCTGAATGGAAGTGACCCCACTTCTCAATGCACCAATCACCCCCAAACTTCCAGGGAGGTTTTCAGAGGGTGTCGGGTGCTTTTCACCTCTCTAGACCATTTTATGCACATGGATATGAGAAAATTAAAACAAGGCCTGTGTGCCACTCAGGATTAGATTTTCAAAGGTAGGCAATTATATGTTTAAACAGCACCTTGGGAGAATTTCCAAAGGGCCTGAGTGTATGACTGTTGAGTTCAGGTCCTTTAAAATCAGATGTGAAGAGTTTAAATTAGAGCTAAGAAACTTAATTCTAGCATAAAACAATGAGATCTGTGTACATAATCTGTGCAGCTTCTTTCTGACATCCCGTTGGACATTTCCCCGTGCTTTGAGGTGCCTATGCACCTTCTGAAAGCCGATCTCATAGCTTCAATAGGACTGCAGTAACAATACAGGACTCGGCACAGAGACACATTTTACCTAGATTTGGCCTTAACTTCCTTTGTTCGCCGTCTTTTTCCACTTGTAAAATGGCAGGAGTGCTACCTAAGCCTGTATTGCTCTTGTGCAAGATGCTGCACCAGGTATTGGCAGCATTCAGGAGAACCGTCAAGTAATGCTCAGCTATTAACTTAAATCAGAAAAACATGGTCCAGGAGGACATACCTCCCTGTCAGCCCACCTCTTGACAAGTGCTCTTTGGGAAGGGAGTAAGATTCATTGCCCCAGCGTAGATGTTGAAAGAGGAAAGCGATCGGTAAGTAGGACCCCCATCATGTGAAAGAGGCAGGGTGTAATCTGTGAGGGGCATCTCTATTCACGTTAACACCACAAGCAGATAAAGCGCAAAGAGGAGAATCTTCTTCAAGGCACAAGTGTTGACAGCCTGTTCTGTCAGCATGAGGTCAGTCACCCATTTGGGTCTAAAAACATGAACTTTTGTGGGAGTGCAGCAGTCCAGCAAAGGAGGGTTTCTCATGGAGTTTATTTCAGGTGTTTTCTCCATTTTTGGGGGTGAATTGGTGGAGGCGTTTATGGCACAGTGCAATGAGAAATAGCCGGTGCCCTTCAGCCTAAATTCGAGGCACCTGCAGTTCTCTTCCAGATACCTACATCGCTTACTGGATTGAGCCCTGAAAGCCCAACTCCTTGTTGCACAGATGCTCCATTCTCCACAGAAGACAGGGCAGCTGGTGAACTCAGCGGTGCTATCCCAATTCTCCAGGCAGTTCTGCTGTAGCCTCTTAATGCAATCAGCTGTTTGCTCACAGTCCCCCCAAAAGCATCCATCAGCAGAGGACTGTAGGAATCTCATCACCGTCTATGTGAGAGCGTTCTGTATCCTGTGATACAAATCAATGTATATTTATGCACCTGTGTAAGGCAAATACATATATGTATTGTTGGAGAACCTAAACCTGTTCACTAATGCTGTTGTTTAAATAGCCCTTGAACCACATCACTTTTCTCCTCGTTAGGTTAAGTCGCTGGAGGTGAAAAAGCCCTTCCAAAATGGTTTTCACTCACTCACTCAGTCCAAAGTAAACATGCCTCTGGGACCATTATGTGTATCAGATATCCAAGGCTTTGTTAACAGCTTGCCTGTTAGGTAAATTCTACTACTCTTTCTCCTTGGAAGGAGAAGGTTAAAATTAGAGACAGGCTCACACAAGTATGGCAGAACAGCACCGTGAGGTATGGCCATGCGGGAATAATAGGCCATATCGGAACAGCACATACAAGTGACCCAAGCCTTGGGGAGGCTCCTGATTGAAGGTAATTCCAGTTACAGTATGACCCTGGCTTGACTTACGCCTGTCACCAGAAATCACATTAGTCGCAGGCATTGCTAGCAATAAATACGTGAGGATTGCACATTCCCTGCGTGCCATGGAAAATCCTCAACCCCCATGCCCACATCTCTGGAGGAACTAATGGATTTCGGCTGGCTGGACTTCCTTTGTACAGTCTTGCCTCACAGTAGGATCGCACCTAGTTCTTAAGTTTGGCAGGATAACAACCGTTCAAAGTCACGTTATCTAGACCTCATCCAGAACTGACTACACTGAAAAGGAGCCTTTCCGTTTACTGCACCAAGGTCTGGATTGGGCCTGCAACCAGGAGATTTTCCCACTGTGGCCATTAGCTGTTCAGCTGATCTAAACTTGTCGAGGAGAATAAAGCAACCACCTGCTTACTGTGACAGGAAAAGTAAAGTGAGATCAAACGCTCGCAGGAGGAGAGAATTTAAGCAATGCGAGAGGTGGTTGCATGTCATTTCAGAAGTCGCCCTTTGTCTTTGATCTGTGCTTAGGAAGTGGGTACCTCCTGGATCAGATGGTCATTAGAGAAGTGTGCTACCAAACTCATCCCACCTTGAAGTTTCAAGTGTTTGCTTTCCCCTGGAAGCCTCCTCCTACTTCCGTCCCTGTGTAAATCATCTGCCCTGAGATTTCCTTTAGAAGAGCTAGCTCATGCATGTTAGAGAGCAGAAACCAGGGCTCGTGTCCTCCTCTAGTTCTAGTATCGCTCACTGCAACGAAGTTGAGACTGCTCTTTTTTAACTGTATTACACATGTACAGGTAGGTCCTCTAGCGATTAGAGAACGGAGAGATATTATAGATGCTGTTATGCCAATAAGAAAGCCCTGGCCCTGAAGAACCTACAGTCTAAATACCCGAGACAGATAAAGGACTTTGACTTTAGGCATTTTAAAGACAAAGCACTCAGAGACAAAATAAGGTGCAAATCACATAAAATCTGTGACAAAACTGAATAAATCCCACTTTACTGAATCCCCACTTCTGCTCCTAACAGCTCCTTAGGGCTCTGCCTGTTTATTACTAACACAGCATTTGCTTTATCAGCACACATTGAGGAAATAAAATCATGCAGTTTAATGTGGCAAGCACATGCAGTCACCCTCTAAAAGCAGAGATTTAAAGCAGGTATGTGTGCAAATATTTGCCAACTCTCTGGGCATTCAATAAAATAAACCTGCATGTGGAAGGGAGTCTCCACGTTACTGCAGGGAGCTTCAGTTTGTTGATGCCTTTGGTGAGTGTTAACAAGAGGCAACATCATGGGGAAGCGAGAACCTGGTCTCAGGTTACCCCATAAATTGGCTAAGGCTTCAGAGAGGATTACAGGCCCAGAGCCATCCTAAGTACTAGGATGTCATTACACTGAAATCAAAGGTAACCAT